TCGGGGTAGCCTTTCCCAGGTAGAGAGAGCTGCTGAAGGAGAATGGTAATGCAATCGCCAGTCACGTTGCCTTTTTGACTCCCTTTTGCGCCTTCTTGGCGACGAGGATTCCGTCTCCCGTGATGCTGCATAATACATGATCCTGCATTATGCTCAAAGAGTGGGACTTTGTTATGCTGCAGTAATGCCGGGGTAGTAGCGGCGCTGGCCGCTAATAGTGGCTAACAGCTGTTAGCGGTGCAGTGTTGCAAGGAGAGGGATGAGGTGTGTGAGGTTGAGCCACTTGTAAGTTGTCAAAAGACAAGACGTGATTGGTTTGTTTCAATTTACACCCGCCCCAACAGTCCTACGTTGTAAATACAGCCAGCATGGTGAGGATGCAATATATGATTTTAACGTTAGACGGGAGAAATTCCTACACACTGTGGCTTTAAATAATGCCAAGATGGAACTGTTGATAAGAGCACTGTTCTCTGCAGAGTTTTGGCACCATCGGAGAACACAAGCATTTAGGTCTGAGCTAGCACAGCCTCTGATGCTAACGCTAGCAGCCAACCTTGTCATGCCACACTGGACCAGGTGTTCAGACTGAGTCAGTCTACCTGTGTCTGACTCAGTGTTGCCAGGTGGGAAATGTAGGATTATCGTACTAGAGACTCAAAATTATCGTATTTTGAGGGAAGTTATCGTACATCCGTCAAAACCAAAATAACAATCCTACTGATGCGCTATAGGCAAATATAGTCACTCTAGTGTTTACTTTTTATCCATTCCACGATAATTATCGTACAACTGGCAACGCTGGTCTGACTGCAAATGGACTGCAGAGCAGTTTGGGTGGTCGAGCACAGGGGGACAACTGTGTTAAACATCCAGCAGCTTCACTACGACACATCTGACAAAAATTAATTTGAACTGAAATGTTTTAAAAACTTTTACAGCAAAAATTATTATGATTAATTGAGGTGAATTAATCAAAGAGCATGTAATGAATTGAATTATTTTAATCACTTCACAGCCATAGTTACAATATTAAACACTTTCATCTGCGAGTAACGTGTGTGTGAAGTCCATTTAAGCAAAGATTAAATGCACACATTATACTGATGCACTGACGTGTTTTAAATGTTAAAGTCTTAGTGAAAATGAATCTGTTTGAGAAGCAGTGGCTCCAGTGTTAAAGCAGGTCGTCCACTAATCAGGAGATCAGTAGTTTGATCCCCAGCTCCTCCAGTCTGCACATCAAGATATCCTTGGGAAAGATACTGACCCCCAAATTGCTCCTGATGACTGTGCTGTCAGTTTGTGAATGTGTATGAATGTTAATGTAACTGAGCAGCAGGTGGCACCTTGTGTGGTCGTGTTGGCAACCAGCATGTGAATGGGTGAAGTCGACATGTAGCGTTTAGGTGCTTTGAGTGGTTGGAAGACAAGAGAAGCACTATACAAGTGTAAATACACTTACAAAGCATCCAACAGGAGACTTGAATCGTGCTGCTTGGGTTGTGTGAGAGTTTGCTGTTGTTAAATGGGTCCTTCTTTACTTCAGTTCATGAAGAATGTTTGCCTTCTTTGGACTCAAAGTTTCTTCACAAATTCAAGGTAACATGCAGGGAACAATTCATGCACAAATGGTCTTTTTGGGATGACATATCCCTTTAAAAAGCTTCAGACTCCTCCTGTTGTGGAAACCAACATCAAAAAATAAAGGCAGTAAGTTGCAGGTATTACACACTATGGGACGAACAAAACTCCACCACTGACCAAAATAACCACATAAAACATCTTTAAACCAATCAGATCCATGAGATTTATTAACAAACCAACATGCAAACAAGACAATAAAATCCCTACGTAGTGGCAGCAGTCTTCTCACCACAGGCCTCCCTCCTCTGCCTCTGCACCTCCCCCATGCCAGGTGAGATGCACCTCGTTAGGTGACGCAGCTCACCTGGGCAGATCTGCACCAGAGGGAAAGAGACAGCAGCACAGAACATGCACAGCTGTAACAACGGGCCTTTGAATCACAGACGTTAACTGTTCACTTGCTTTGACAGTTTCCAATTAGCTGTCTCACTAACACAGAGTCAGTACGTTTACATGGACAGTTTAATGCCACTTTTAATCGGAATGAAAGGCCATTCCGATTAAAAGTGGTCATGTAAACGGTCATTCCAACTGAAAATTAAATCCGATTAAAGGGGGTGGTTTATTCCGTTTGTCATTCCGAATGAAATAATTTTGTGTGCATGTACACACTCATTCCTCTTTAAGTTCATTCCGGTCTTTCCGCTCATGCTCGTTTCCTTGCCCTTCTGGCGCGATGACGTATATAGCGCGCATAGCAACGGGCTGAGATAGAGCAGTCAGACTCGTTGCACTCACTGGTTTCCATTCGCCACAGCACGGTCTTCTATCTCCCTTCTTCGACCTTCTACCTCCCTTCTCCTCCTCAACAGACGAAGCATTAGCAGAACAAGGTTGTTGTCGTACTGCTGCTTCAAGAATATAAGNAAAATATTTTAAACTCAGGCCCTGCTCTGTTATTACGTATTTCATCCACTCGGGCTGTTATTTTAATCATCGGACAGACCAGCCTCAAGTTTTAAATGATTCTGCATGACTGTGCCGACACGACAGCGCCGCAACTACCAGACGTCTAGGCATCGCATTGGGCCCAGTTTCTGGGCTCTTGCCTGCAAGTTTTAAACTCCTGGGTGATCATCATGCCCTGTGAGGACTGTCTACATACCCACAGGGAAAGAGTGCTTACTAACCTTAGGAAAGATGTCCGGAGACTGTCGGAGGAACTGCCGAGGAAGGACGTCTTGCTGTCAAGCTACATTGAGACAGCTGCTGCACAAAACAAGAAGATCGGTGTCCTGAACTCCACCATCAACTCCATCAACTCCTCCATGGTTGACACTTTGCTATGGGATCCTCTACAACCTCGGTCATCCTCCTGCTCGACCCCAAACCCAGAGAGCAACTGGTCTGAGGTGATAGGTAAGGGAGGGGGGAAGGCGCGGATCACGGATTTTCCACTGCCACGGCTCTACCTGTCGAACCGCTACACAGCGTTGACTGAGGCACCAGATCACCCAGGTGAGGATGGCAGGGCCTTTGTGGTTCCTGACCGTGCCTCCACTGGAGCGTCCCCCGATCCCATGCACCTGCCAGTGGCCTCTCCTCCTGCTGGAGCTAGCAGTGGCAGAGTGGGGGGCCTGGACGGTGCACCTTCGCACAACACCTTTGCTGCTGCTGCCGCCGCTGTTGCTACCGCTGATGCTGCTGCTGTCCCTGCGCCTACAATCACCGGGCCGTGCTCTGCACCTTGCGGAGTTGGAGAGTCATCCTGTGGGGGTCCTGGCAGTTCCCGTGCTGACGGCTCCTCCCATTCTCCATCTCAACACCTCGACCGAGGGGCTTCCTGGTCCGAGGTTGTTGTCCGCGGGCGGAGGAGGAGCTCGAACGGGGCTACCTCTATCCCTCGCCCGGCAGTGGGGCCTCAGCGACCCCCTCTCCATTCCTCAGCCCGGCGCAAGCGGCTCATGCAGGATGCGGTGCGGAGGCACACCAGGGGCTCCCCTCACCTGGCGGGGAACCACGCTCACGGTCCAGCCACCTCCCCCTGTGGACAATTGTTGGATCCTCCTCCTACAACCCTCATTGTCGGGGACTCCATCGTGAGGAACGTACGGATGAGGGGGGCGATCACACTTTCGTTCCCAGGCACCACCGTTACCGACATAATGGAAAAAATCCCAGGTATCCTGAAGTCTCATCCGCAGGCTGACAGACTGATCATTCATGCAGCTACGAACGATATCCCCAAGCAGCAGTCCGAACTTTTAAAGCGGGATTTTATCCACCTCTTTAATCTGGTCAAACAGTCACAGCTGAGTGTTTTTATCTCCGGCCCCACCCCCACCTGTGGCAGAGGAATAGGCCGTTTTTCCAGACTGCTCAGTGTAAACACCTGGCTCTCCTCTGCCTGCAGTTCCCACAACGTTGCCTTCATAGACAACTTCAATGTCTTCTGGGAAAGGAGGCATCTTTTTGGGGTAGATGGGCTTCACCTCAATAAAGCCGGTTCCCGTCTACTCTCTGCTAACCTGGCATACGGCGTCCAGCATGCCCGCACCACATTCTCCTCTCACCGCTCCAAACCCACACCTGCTGACCGGTCCGGACTGATCAATTCCTGTCATCATAACAAACAGAGAGCAAACTAAATATCACCACACATATCTAGATAAACACATCAATACAGTAAACTTTAATAACCTCAAACCTCTCCTTAATTATCAACCACCACTGATCTCTACAGTCCAGAAGTCACCAATCACTATCAATATGGCTCTTTTAAACATTCGCTCTCTGGCAAACAAGTCTTTTATTATCAATGAGCTGATTTCAGATAACAAAATTGATTGTTTCTTTTTAACTGAGACGTGGCTGAGCGTGGACGCACCAGCTGTTCTCACTGAGGCCTCCCCACCAAATTTTAATTTTGCTTTTTCTGTAAGGAGTGGTAGGAAGGGTGGTGGTACTGCATCAATCACCACTAATTCACTCACTACTAAACATATTTTATTTGATCAGTACACCACCTTTGAACATCATGCAGTCGTTTTTAGCAGCCCTGAATTTTTATCAATAATCCATACCACTTACAATATGATAATTTTATCCGGTGATTTTAACCTGCACATAGACAATCAGTCAGATTCCATCTCACATGAGTTTTTAAACATCCTCAGCTGTATGGATTTTATTCAACATGTCACACAGCCGACTCATAACAGAGGACACACTCTGGATCTCGTCATCACCCACGGCTTGTCCACTGGTGTGTCCTCTGTTGTCAACTTGGCTGTGTCTGACCATTATTGTGTGTTTTTCAATATCACCGGTTTTATTCAGCGGGAGACCTCGGTGCGAACTGTGAGGAAGCGATATCTTACCTCTGAAGTGGCTGCAAATTTCATTGAAGTTTTAGATAAATGTCCTCCAGTTATTTTACCTGCTTCCTGCAATTTTATTGTTGAAGATTTTAACAGTAAACTAAAGTCAAGTCTTGATTCAGTCGCTCCACTAAAAACAAAGCTGGTACAAGACAGTCATATTACCCCATGGAGAAATGAAGAAATCAAAAAACTGAAAAGAAATTGCAGGATAGCAGAAAGGAGATGGAGGAAAAACAAATTAACAGTTAACCACCAAATATTCCGTGAGCAACTTAAAATTTACAATAATGCACTCAGACAAGCAAGAAACACTTACTTTGCCAGTATAATCAGTAATCATGAAAATAATCCCAGAGTCCTCTTCTCCACCATCGACTTTTTAATCAACCCTGATTTTAACAAGTTCCAAGCACAGATTCCCTTTGTGAAGACTTTGCAGCCCACTTGGTAAAGTTGATGGCATCAGATCTGATATTTTATCCCATCAAAATACAGTTCTTAACACATCTGAATGCTTGTTTTTATCTGAGGAAGCACTGGACAGTTTTGTCCTGGTTGATCCTGAGACACTTGGTAGAGTTTTCTTCCAAGTGAAACCAACAACCTGTCTTTTAGACCCAATTCCTACATCACTTTTTAAAACATTTTATGGATTCTTCGAAGATGAGCTTTTAAACATTGTGAATTCTTCTCTTCAAATGGGTGCTTTCCCCAATGCCTTTAAAACAGCAGTGGTGAGACCCCTTTTGAAGAAGAACAATTTAGATCCTAATGTTCTTAACAACTACAGACCGGTATCCAACTTACCATTTTTAAGTAAAATTTTAGAGAAAACTGTTTTTATTCAGCTTAATAATTTTTGTAAATAATAACAACATCTTTGATAAATACCAATCTGGATTTAGGAAGAATCACAGTACAGAGACAGCCCTGCTGAAGATCGTTAATGATCTCAGGTGTAACTTGGACTCACACAAGTTATCAGTCCTGGTGCTACTGGATCTAAGCGCTGCCTCCAACACCCTGTTCTTTTAAACAGACTCCAACAGCTGGTCAGCCTCTCTGGCACTGTTCTTAAGTGGTTCACTTCCTATCTCACAGATAGAAAATTCTTGGTAAGTAAGTCTCTTCAGAGATCCATGAAATTAAATGTGGTGTACCCCAAGGCTCAATTTTAGGTCCCATACTTATTAATTTGTACATGCTGCCTCTTGGTTGTGTCATCAGGAGACATGGTATTAACTTCCACAGTTACGCTGATGATACACAACTGTACATCTCCATGTCTCCTGATGACACAGGGCCAATTGATGCCCTTTTTAACTGTATCTTGGACATCAAATCCTGGATGGCAGAAAACTTTTTACAGCTCAACCAGAACAAAACTGAAGTTTTACTCATCAGTCCTGAGGCTCAGAGAGAGAAACTTTTATCCAAACTACAGGCATTGTCCTTAAATCCATCAATTCAAGTTAAAAACCTGGGCGTTATTTTTGACTCTGAGCTTACATTTATTCCACACATTAAGCATGTAACAAAAACAGGCTTTTATCATCTAAAAAACATAGCCAGAGTCCGCCCGTTTCTCTCTCGAGCTAACACGGAGACGCTAATGCATGTTTTTATCTCTAGTCGTATTGATTACTGTAATGCCCTGCTTTCTGGTCTTCCCTACCTATTTAATCAGGCTTTTAACTAATATTTTCTTAGTTTTCTGATGTTTTACTGTCATTGACACTTTTACTTAGGTTTTAATATCATTCTTAGTTGTTTACTGATTTAATGTAATTTTTAGTCTTGTACTGAGGTTTTAATGTCACTCTTAGTCTTTTATTGATGTTTTATGTTATTCTTAGTTTTTAACTCCAGTGTTTCCTCAGTGGGGGCCCTCTGCACTGGGGGCTGTGATTGGCCCTGGCTGCATTGGCGCTGCCTCGTGGGTTGCTTTGACTGGGTCGGGGGGGGCTGCACTCTGCCTTCTAGGCAGTGGTGTGGGCCCCTCTATCTGCCCATGTTGAGGTGGACTCCGTGTTGGTGTCCTGGTGGCCACGGGCTGTGATCAGCTCCCGGTGCAGACGGCTCCCTGCAGTATTGTTTCCTCACCTGGTTGCTCTGCGCTCTGCCACATGTTTTTTATGTCTACATCATGACTGTGTGGGTGGATGCGTGGGTGTGTCTGTGGGTGGGTGCGGGTGGCTGGGGGGTGGATGGGAAGGGCATTTCTTCTAACCATGTAAAGCACTTTGTGCTACATTTTTGTATGAAAAATGCTTTATAAATAAAGATTGATTGATTGATTGATTGATTTAGTCTTTGTTTCTGTCTGACGTGTCATTTTATCAGTTTACCAAAGTATAAAGCTGCCAGGGACCCATAACACAAGAGAAATGACACATACGTCTGTAGAAATGAACACGGCCCATCAGTCATACCATGTTGTTGTTATGTATATAGGTTATGCTGTGGTAAAGCCCTACATCAGCACCACGTGTTGGTGCTACACTTTGTGTTTTAACACCATCGAGCCTCATGGGTAACTGTTGGAGTCTGATAACTGAGATAATCACATCAAGTTAAAGCAGTTGGCACAAACACTTTGAGTAAACTCAGTGTTCTCAGCAGGATGTAACTTCTGTAAATGATCCTTTTTATACAACAGGAATATCAATAGTCTACAAAACTGTGAATGAACAGAATAATTACCAATCATTGATCTTACCCAGGTCCCTGGCCATCTCTCTGATTTCTGCCATCTTCCTCAGAACTGAGTCTGTAATTTCTACTGAGTTTGCAGAAAGAACACACACCAGGACATGAACTCTGTCGTCCAGAGAGGGGGATTTGTTGTAGCTTGGATCAGTACCTGACAGTGGACCAATAGGATTGAACTGGAAAACAATGGAAAGAAAAAAAACATTATATATACATACATACATAGAAGGTGTATATATACATATAGATATATATTTATGTAAAATCACCCCCTCAGGGTGGTATCTGTATCATCCTCGAGCTTGGGTCCTCTACCAGAGGTCTGGGAGTCTGAGGGTCCTGTGTAGTATCTTAGCTGTTCCTAGGATTGCACACTTCTGGACTGAGGCTTCAGATGTTATTCCAGGAATTGGCTGGAGCCACTCTCCTAGTTTGGGGGTCACTGCCCCAGGCGCTCCTACTACTACGGGTACCATGTCAACTTTGACCTTCCACATTTGCTCCAGCTGTTCTTTTAACCCTTGAAACATCTCCACCTTTCCACGTTCCTTCTTTCTGATGTTGCTGTCGGCTGGTATCGCCACATCTACCACCACTGCCTTCCTCTGGTGTTTGTCAACCACCACTATGTCCAGTTGGTTAGCCAGCTGCTGTTTGTCAGTCTGGAAGCTGAACTCTCACATTCCAGTATCCATGTGTGTGGCATTGAGTCGTAGGCTTTCTTATAGTCAATCCAGGCGGCGCACAGGTTGGTCTTCCTGCTCTTGCAGTCTCAGGCGATTGCTCTGTCAACCACTAGCTGGTGCTTGGCTCCTCTGGTGTTACTGCCAATTCCTTCCTGTGCCTCGCCCATGTATTGGCCCATATGCCTAGTTATCTTAGCCTCTGTGATGCCTGACAGGGGCTTCCATGTTGTGGAGAGACAGATTATCAGTTTGTAGTTGGATGGGATGGTCTTTCATGATCAGGACAGTCCGGCCCTGTGTCAACCATCCTGGGTGGGTCCCATCCCTTAGCAGCTGGTTCATCTGTGCTGCTCAGCGTTCATGGAGTGCAGTTAGCTTCTTCAGCCAGCATGTATGGATCATATCAGGGCCTGGTGCTGTCCAGCCCTTCATCTTTGACACTCTTTCCTGGATGTCTGCCATTGAGATGGTTACTGGTTCTTGTTCTGGGAGGTTGCTGTGGCCAGCTCTTAGGGCCAGCTCTTAGGTCCACCAGCCATTGGGCACTGGTGTTGTGTGATGCCTCTCTTTCCCATATGCCCTTCCAGTATGTTTCCATCTCAGCTCTTGGTGGGACTGACCTGCTGTTATTTCCCTGCCACTGAGAAAACACCTTGGTTGGTTCAGTGGAGAACATCCTGTTTATTCTCCTGGCTTCTACTTCTTTGGTGTAAATCTTCTGCCGGGTGCCCAGAGCTGTTAGTCTTTGTTTTTGTTTCAGGAATGGAGAGCCTGTTGTATTTCCTTGGTACCCTTTTATTCACCATGTTACCTTCGTGTAGCCCTGCTAGTTGGCTAACTTCTCTCCGTGTTGCCTTTATCTTGGCCTCTAACCGTCTCTTCCATGGAGGATACTGGTTCTTATGTACTATGTCCATCTTGTATCCAATCATCTCCAGGATTACTGTTGCTGTGCTGTGAATCAGCTTGTTGGTCTCGGTGATGGTCCTTGTAGGGATGGTATTTAGGGCAGCATTCAAATCTTCTAGCAGATCATCTGAAGGTACTTGACAGCTCAGCTTCGGGATTCGTCAGAGACTCCAGGTTTCCAATTTGCTCACGATCTTCCTTCTCAGGTCAGCTGCTCTTTCAGTGAGGCTGTTTGTATCTACTGGGGCTTGGTACCCAATCTTGACATTGTGGATTTACAATATTGTAAATTGTAATTAGTCATATCCAAGGTAGGCAGGTATAGCATTAGGAGTCTTGCCTAAGGAGTGTGTGTGTGTGTGTGTGTGTGTGTGTTATAGCTTAAATGTAATGACCAAATTAAAGTTTAAATAAAGTAGCTGTAAGCAAGTGGAAGCAGAAATTAAACATATTCCACCCAGTATTAAGTTTAATGATGTCAAACATTTAACAGTTGTACCATGTAACCCTCTTTCACGTGTCCTTCCATGGTCAGTTTGATGTCTGCAGGACGAACTCCCTGGGTTTCGCCTTCCTCCAAACCCATGATGTCATTGAAGACGATAGGATACGTCCCTTGGTTTCCTTTCCCAATTTTGCTATGATGAGTTTCATACTGTGACACAGAAACAAAATGAAATGCTTGTTTTACTGACAGTGATGCCATGAACAGACGCACAGCTTTGATTTACTAGCTGCAGCTGAGGCTCATGGGTATTGTAGGTTTCTGAGTCATCCAACAAAGTGTAAGTAAGACTATACAGCCAAATTAGTATATTTAGTTAGTTTGATGTATGTTTTTACTGTGTTTCTTTAAACATTTATTTCATTCATTAGAAGGTTTTGCACTTTTTTGGTGAAACTTCTTCTAGCAGTTGTTGCACTGGCCGCAGCAGGAACACACAGTCTGCCTCGTATGGTGCTGACGACAGAGTTGATGAAGCTGGACTTTCCAGCTCCAACAGGCCCGTACAGAAGAACTCGGAGATGGTTGATGTCGTCCCTTTCAGGCTTATAGTCTCGCACATACTGAAGACTTTCTTTGTCTCTGTTTAACGGGAAAAAAAATGGTATGAATATTTTTTTTTAAAGATATATATATTGTACATATTTTATATATATATATATATATATATATATATACAGTACAGGCCAAAAGTTTGGACACACCTTCTCATTCAATGCGTTTTCTTTATTTTCATGACTATTTACATTGTAGATTCTCACTGAAGGCATCAAAACTATGAATGAACACATGTGGAGTTATGTACTTAACAAAAAAAGGTGAAATAACTGAAAACATGTTTTATATTCTAGTTTCTTCAAAATAGCCACCCTTTGCTCTGATTACTGCTTTGCACACTCTTGGCATTCTCTCCATGAGCTTCAAGAGGTAGTCACCTGAAATGGTTTCCACTTCACAGGTGTGCCTTATCAGGGTTAATTAGTGGAATTTCTTGCTTTATCAATGGGGTTGGGACCATCAGTTGTGTTGTGCAGAAGTCAGGTTAATACACAGCCGACAGCCCTATTGGACAACTGTTAAAATTCATATTATGGCAAGAACCAATCAGCTAACTAAAGAAAAACCAGTGGCCATCATTACTTTAAGAAATGAAGGTCAGTCAGTCTGGAAAATTGCAAAAACTTTAAATGTGTCCCCAAGTGGAGTCGCAAAAACCATCAAGCGCTACAACCAAACTGGCACACATGAGGACCGACCCAGGAAAGGAAGACCAAGAGTCACCTCTGCTTCTGAGGATAAGTTCATCCGAGTCACCAGCCTCAGAAATGGCAAGTTAACAGCAGCTCAGATCAGAGACCAGATGAATGCCACACAGAGTTCTAGCAGCAGACCCATCTCTAGAACAACTGTTAAGAGGAGACTGCGCCAATCAGGCCTTCATGGTCAAATAGCTGCTAGGAAACCACTGCTAAGGAGAGGCAACAAGCAGAAGAGATTTGTTTGGGCCAAGAAACACAAGGAATGGACATTAGACCAGTGGAAATCTGTGCTTTGGTCTGATGAGTCCAAATTTGAGATCTTTGGTTCCAACCGCCGTGTCTTTGTGAGACGCAGAAAAGGTGAACGGATGGATTCCACATGCCTGGTTCCCACTGTGAAGCATGGAGGAGGAGGTGTGATGGTGTGGGGGTGTTTTGCTGGTGACACTGTTGGGGATTTATTCAAAATTGAAGGCACACTGAACCAGCATGGCTACCACAGCATCCTGCAGCGACATGCCATCCCATCTGGTTTGCGTTTAGTTGGACGATCATTTATTTTTCAACAGGACAATGACCCCAAACACACCTCCAGGCTGTGTAAGGGCTATTTGACCAAGAAGGAGAGTGATGGAGTGCTGCGGCAGATGACCTGGCCTCCACAGTCACCGGACCTGAACCCAATCCAGATGGTTTGGGGTGAGCTGGACCGCAGAGTGAAGGCAAAGGGGCCAACAAGTGCTAAACACCTCTGGGAACTCCTTCAAGACTGTTGGAAAACCATTTCAGGTGACTACCTCTTGAAGCTCATGGAGAGAATGCCAAGAGTGTGCAAAGCAGTAATCAGAGCAAAGGGTGGCTATTTTGAAGAAACTAGAATATAAAACATGTTTTCAGTTATTTCACCTTTTTTTGTTAAGTACATAACTCCACATGTGTTCATTCATAGTTTTGATGCCTTCAGTGAGAATCTACAATGTAAATAGTCATGAAAATAAAGAAAACGCATTGAATGAGAAGGTGTGTCCAAACTTTTGGCCTGTACTGTATATATATATATAATATGTACAATATATATCTTTAAAAAAATAATATTCATACCATATATATATATAAAATATGTAGTAGCATATGACATAAAACAGACTCACAGAAACACAAAATGAACAATGAATAAAAGAAATCAAGTTATTGTGCAGAATAATTAGTGTTAGAAAGCATCTAGAGATAAATGAGAGCAGGTATAAAGCTAGTACATAGCTGGACTGTGTATAATATGATTTGGCATAAGTGGCATTGAATGAGTGAAACTGCTGTAAAAGCCTCACGGGGGTGTAAATGAGCACAGTTTGCACCTATTCGTTTGGAAAGAGACTGACCAATGGGGAAATTGTAACAGTCGACAGACTAATGGTGTAACTTCAGCAGTTACTCAGTAAGTCAGGGAAAGACTTCATTGTTTAAAGAGCTGAAGAGGTAAAACTCCAGCAACACCTGGAGTAGGCTATACAGAACATCTTGTACTCTAGGGTGCTGGGCAGTAGGCAGCCTTTTGCAGTAATATTTGTCTGAATTACTGAGAGTCCTTAGGTGAAGTTCCCAGGGTGGCGTTGTTAGCTCCTTTTGATCATACTAGTTAATGCCCTTAACAATAACATAACCACTGCCCTGCCACAGATGTAAAGTGAATATAATATAATCAGTGTGTTTTCTTCAGTGAAAGCTGAAAATAAGAATCATGTTCTCATTACCTCAGAATGAGCTGTTTATATCTACACAGGGAGCAGGTCCTCGTCTACAGAGATCACCATGTTGCACCGCCATGTTTCTACAGTAGCCCAGAACGGACAAACCAAACACTGACTCTAGATAGAGACATTCATGTTTTCACATCAGCCACCATCATTTCCCAACACACTTGGCTCACGAGGGAAGTTTCAGTTAGAAGCAGTGTTTCAATCTTGCCACTATGCCACTAAACTCCACACACTAGACCTCTTCACATGACCCTTTGATGTATGTGGAGTTTTCAGTTTGCTGAAAATGTCCTCTAATATCTATCTTTTAATATTATTTACTGCTTCTATCATGTCAGATATTTTATTCAGTTCAGCTAATTTAATACCTAAAGTATAGTTTTATAAGCTCAGCAGATTTTTTTTTATTTTTATTTTGTCTGTCCTTTCAAAAGTGTTATTGTGGATAATATTTAGTTTTGATCTGTTTGTTTTTGGGGGGGTTTCTTAAAATGATAATGTGTCATAAAATGTTTGCAGTAATGGTTGTAATGACCACAGTACCCATTTGTTTGTGTAAGTCATTCTTGGACTAACTGAGGTTAATAGACACATGTTTTGCTTGAGGAAAAATGGAATGTCTGGATACAATTAAAAAAAGTGTGTACTCGCTCCTTGCTTTACACTGGCGTAGATTAAATAGATTAATGGTAATACTGCTAAACTGAAACAAAATATGCAAAATAACAAGCAAACCAAGACGTAAATAATTCATGCACCATTAGGCTGCAGCACCTTCGCTTTATACACGATCTGATCTGCAGGGGTTAAGCACATACTCAAAAGCCATTAATAAACACACAACACACACAATACAAAATAGCTCAGTATGGCATACATCCCAGGTCCCTTGTTGGAGGAGCGAGGAATGAGGACACATGAGAGCCACTTTCACTGAAGTCTTTAAAGCCACTACAAGGAACTTTTAACTGGATATGCAAAAGTCTCTGGTTTCTGCTGATGTCTGTGCGTGAACTACAACAGCAAATGAGACCATCGGTGTGAAGATAAGCTATTTCTATATAGTGTATATCCATACCTTTGGGAAACTGTGTACGGGTCCGTCGCTTCCAGGACGAAACGATTGACGGCACTCAGAAGGTCACAGGTCATCTTACCTAGCTGCTTACATTTGACTAGTAGTGAAATGAAATAGTGACTATTATAAATAGGCGCAATATGCGCTTGAGCTCATGGGAAATGTCGGCTTCATTCCGGCAAAACACTACCGCTTTTGTCCACAGGGTCGCCAAAATCAACTCAAAATGTAAGTTCCTTGTAGGGGCTTTAATCAACTATCACACCCTGTTTTGGATTAACTGGACACTGCAGCTGGACTGATCTGATACATCACAACATCAGTAAAGTTTCATACTGGAGTGAAGTGACATATAAATTGACATATAAGAGATTAATCTCAACTGCATCACTCCTAACCCTGCATATTTACATATTTGTTTTCTGATTCACTGTCTAGTTTAAAAAACAGCTGTGTAGATAGTAACTCAGCAAAGCAGCACAGACAACTTTATTACAACTCTCATAATCTATTATTTCTCACATTAACTTTTATAATGGAAACAAAGACAGAGAGTCTGTCTGTGAGCAAGAGACACTTTATACACCACTTATTGTCATTTCCATTCAGTTACATGTGAGCAGTGTCCAAAATTTACTTTTTGACTCACCGGCCAAGAAGACTGGTAGATGAAGGAAATCCAACAGTCAAGCTTGTTTTTTACCGGCCAAAGAGATAAACTGCCTTTTTGTGTCATGTGTATATTTGTTTCAGTACATTTCATTGAGATAATAAGGTCTTATGTTGAATACAAACTTTAAGTAGAAAGGTCCACGAGTGTTAGCCTGCTAGGACCGTCCTGATGACACGAGCTTAAAATCTTCTTTGGCTCTCTGCATCAAACACTTACAGTGGGCGGGAGTACTCTCCTTGACAAACTCCTTCAGCCAATCAGCATAACAAACACCAGAGAGCATCTTCTTCACCACCATTGGAGCCTGTCGATAAATTAAGCTTTTGCCAAATCCAGTCAGAAGAATGACAGAAATGTCTTTTCCTCAGAGAAACTCAGTGAGGTCATGTTCTTGTTCTTGTTTGTTGTTATCGACTCTATTTCTACAGTAACTTCACTTATTGCTGTGTTTACTCTGCGAACGTCAGAGTTAGTGCTTGTTGCTTCAGAAGCAGCTGTTACTGTTCTGCAAACTGCGGCCTGCATTTTACTACTAGAACTACAACGCAGTCCCTAAATGGCTGCTTATGTTGTCAAGCACAGCGCAGATCCCTGATTGGCCCCGATTGAATTGTAATTTCTGCAAAGTGTTTGGGGCAGTAGCAGTAGTAGTATAAAAACAGAGTACTGGTCTTTCATATGCAGGTGTTTGTTAAGCAGAGAGAAAACACTACTGCTCCTCTAACTTTGTGTTTTTGTAAGTATGAGCAGTGTGCACGTGAAGCCGACTGATCCATCTGTGATCAGCTGTGATCAGCTGCCGCCATCATCACAGACAGACGTTGCTTCATGAGATGTTTCAGAGGAAACAACATCTCATTCCTCTGAAAACATATTTCCTTGTTTCCTCTCTCCTCACATGGTTTCCTTGCATGTCTCCATGCATCTTCGGTGAGAGGGACTAAGATGCAAGTAAAAGAGGCAAGTGAGAGAAACATGGATGCAGTTTCAGAGACTTGGGATGTTCTCCATGTATAAATTTAGAAATAGGAATAATTACAAATTAAAGAATTGGCTCCTACAATTGTTTTATAACTGGACACACACAAAAATCATATAACATGAGACAGGTAATAATGATGGTGTAATGAAAACACATTTTATTTCTGTAGTTGCCTTGGCCTCTGCCTCTCTTCCTGTTTCACCTGTCTGGTGCTTTTAAAGGGGATGAGAGGAGCTCCTGTGATTGGTTATTACTGAAGCTCACCCCACTTGTTGAGTCTGTGCTAATCAAGTATTCAGGCTCTCTTCCACATCATTCTGAGCTGGGCCCACACTGCTCTGCTGAGAGCACTCAGGTGAGTTTCTTTCTACATTTGTGTATCTAAAGGAAAGTTCAGAGACACACAGCACAGGGACACCACATATGTTTGAGTGAACTCACCCCCAGTTTATCTCCCTCCATTCCTCACTGAAAGCTGAAGAGAAAACTGTGTCATTATTTAGAAAACAAGCAAATAATGTGAATACACAAGTTGAGTAACAAAGTATATTATTCCATATTAATAATGATTATAATAAAACTTGACAGGTTGTTCAAAAAATAAACTTCATATCTTACTGGGAGACGGTGGAGTTGGTGGTGGTACTTCTAGAAAGGAAAACAGAGGAAACATTTAAATAAATTCTGCAACACTTTTCATGTGAGGCCTAGAACATGTTACCTGAACATGGAATTGATAAATATGCAAATATTGCAAGTTATATTGAAGTGTCTCTTAGACCCCATCCCAACTAGGCTACTTAAGGAGGTCTTTCCTTTAGTTAACACTCATATATTAGATGATCAATATATCCTTATTAACAGGCTATGTACCACAGTCTTTTAAGGTAGCTGTAATTAAACCTCTACTAAAAAAGCCCACCCTGGATCCAGAGGTGTTAGCCAACTATAGACCAATATCTAATCTTCCCTTTATGTCAAAGATCCTTGAGAAAGTAGTCGCAGAACAGCTGTGTGATTTTCTCCATGATAATAATTTATTTTGCCGCCTGATGCCGACTCCTACTGCTATTGTTATGAGTCATACCGCCACTGTTTTACAACACATATAATTATCATTGTCACAGACCTGTACTATCATGTGTTAGTACATAAGTGTAAAATACATACCATCATAAACAACTGATATTATTCAGATTTCTATAATTGTTATTGTTGCTGTTGTCATTATTGTTGTTGCTGTGCATCTGTCTCTCAATTCAACAAACGTTATTAGCTTGACATTTAACCTGCTGCCAAAGCACAAATACAATTAAAAGGCAGTGAATAACATTTAAATAATTACACAAATAATAGTCAACAGAGCAAACCATGTATCATAGGTGTACTGTATGTATCAGCTTATCAGATCCTCAGTGATCCTACCCACCCTCTCCACCTAAAAGAGACAGCAGGTAAAACAACAAACTCCTGCAGCGTAAAATTAGAACAACAAGGTACAGCAAATCATTTGTGCCTACAGCACTGACATCAGTAAAATATAGATGCAAGCAGCAATGCTTGGGCTCAAGCCAGTGTGGACCTTTAAAACTTGAGAGCTGGGTGGGATCAAGACCTATGAAGGGCGTCCAAATCTCTACCGGGCCACGCTTTTCTTTGGAAACTCTGTCACTTCCTATATGATTGATTTTTGATTGATTTTTTTATTCACGTGTCATGCCACAAGTGGCCCATCCCACATGGGATTACATGACACCAATGAAACATAGAAAAAACATTTCATATGTGACTTCCGGTACACATAACAAAGTTCAACTTTACATAACCACAACACAAAAAAAGAAGACAAAACGAGACATAATCATCTGTACAATGCCATACTTCTTTTGACACAAGCCTTTTCTATAAATTCTGCCAATAAAAATGTTTTATGTTCAAATAACCATGCCAGCAAATCTATATCCTGTCTCATCTCTTCCACTTCCAGTTTGTTAAATAACTTTTCTCTTAAATCATGATAATATGGACAACCCAAAACAAAATGAACTTCATTTTCAGTTTCATTGAGATCACATAAAAAACACAATCTGTCATCCTCATTTGTTCCAACCCAAGGTCCTGTTTCAATATGCAGCGGAAGAATACCTGACCTGAACTGGGCACACAATGATCTTCTCCTCTTAGACAAATTATATTTGACATAATTCTCTACACCAAACTCATTTTTAATGCAACAGAAAATTCTAAGTTTTGGTTTGTTCCAAACCTCAATGGTCCACTTCTGTTTTAGCTGCTGAGAAACAATCTCTTTAATCATTTCAATATCTACCTTCTCCCTATAAATATAAGATTCCTCAAAACCTGTCTTCTGTAATAATAACATTTTCTTGCAAAGTCTACTATCACTTATACCGAGATATCTATTCCATAATCTACACATACACACCACCCACCGAACTTCGCAAGGTTCCCAACCCATATCTCCAGTGATTGCTAGAATAGGTGCATACTTATTAACTCCTAAAAAATACCTAATAGCTCTTTGATGGAGTTGCTCACATCTCTTAGGTTCTTTATAGCCCCATACCCCAGCAGCATAATCCAACACAGGAGAGACACAGGCATCATAGAGTTTAGTGTAGGAAGAGAACCCCATATCTCTTAAGGTTCTTGTCTTAGCAATGACTCCTCCTAGAGCCCTCCCAGCAGACTCAGCAAGCACTGTAGTACCTTTGGCAAAACTCAAATGCTCATTGAGGTGAAAACCAAGATATTTATAAGAATCTGTATATTTCAGGCGTTTTCCCCAAAATAAAACTGAAACTTACTTAAAGCCTGTGAAGGCAGCCTAAAATGCATTATTTGAGATTTTTTGACATTTATTGTGAGTCGCCATTTTTTACACCAAACACTAGCAGCAGTGAGCATTTTTTTGTAGATTTTCCTCTGTTTCTGCAAGTATAACAAAATCATCTGCATATAAAAGGGCACTCACATTTTCCTCACCACATCTCACTCCACATCCTAGTGGTTTGATAACATTATACAAGATTACAAGATTATTTATATACACTGCAAATAACGTAGGTGAGAGAACGTCACCCTGTTTTACTCCCACTGTTGTAGGAAACCATCCTGTCCTTGCATCATTTACCCTGACACAGGCTTCTGGATCACCATAGATTTTCTTCACAGCATTATAGAATTTACCGTTTCCTATAAGTCAACTGTAGGAACATTTTGGGGACATGCTTTAAAGGCTCAGTTAAACGGTCCACTGAGTTTGGGTGATGTTTGAACAAACCTGCATTGATTCATGGCCAAATTTTGCAAAAGGTCATTGCACTTGTTTGGAGCTTGTGGCGCTCCCTATTTACCCATTTCAAAATAATTTAACAGATGTGGTTCATCAATATTATTTAACATACCATGCAAGTTTTGCAATGATTGGTCACATGTCTTTTTTGCATGCGTTGTGCCCCTATGCATTGTTTTGGTCAGATTCATAAAGCTGTGCAGACACCTGATTCTCATTTATTAACCTCGATCATTGTGGTGCTGGGTGCACAGGCTCGAGCCTCATTCCCACACCCACAGTTCATCATAAACATTTGTGCCCCTCCACCACTTATCAGATCTGTCTATGACAAATACAACAAAGAAACAACATGTGTCGCATCATGAGGTTCTCCAACAGTGCCAGAGCAGCCATTATTATGAATATTTGCAGTGTCCTTGACACCAGTTAATCACATTTCTGCAAACCATCATGACAGTAAAATCTCAGTCATTATTATTGAATGTCAGAGGGATGATCAGTGATTCATTTATAGCACTCATGTGGAAACTGACTTTACAAAGTGATTCACAGGATCAAATAAAGTGGTCACTCAGTGGGTGATAATGTGAATAAATGTACCTTTAATTGACATTTTACAGAAAGTTGTGTAAGCTGCAAAAATTATTAAAACAATCAGTGAAGTAGGCAAACAACTTAAAAACAATGTTTTACAGCTCTTATTATTTGATCTGCTCCTCATCTTTCCTGCAGCTATGTGACGTAAAACCATGTGAGGTGTTCATGTTCTCGCTGCACATTCTTCCTTTATAAATACCATTTCAGTCAAAGAAAGCAGCCATCAGTCGAGTGGGCTGGGATGTGAGCTTAGCTTGACATTGTGTCCTGTCTGAACTAACGCTATGTTCAATGTTATGTATAGAAAAAGACATGTGCATTATTTTTATATTTTGTGGGTGCATCTGGCCGCTGGTTGCCACCTTTTCATATAGCCCTGCCCTCACAGCCCTGCTGTGGATGTACACGCCCATAAATGTCCTGAACCCAGAAGAAAATAATAAATCTAGGCAGATACACCAGCATACAGCCAGAGTGGGAGAGAGATTACTGTTGTTTGAGTCTATGCATTTTTTAGGAAAATCCTGGAGAGTATGCCTTTAAGTTTGGCTTGTTTGTCTACACACTCATGGAAAATAAAAATCAGTACATGAGCAAACAGGAATGTGATGAAGAGATGCAAAAACCCCTCAGAGGGGCTTCAACAGGACACAGTAGAAGACATCCAGTACACAAAGTAAAAAATTCAGATCACTAATCATTAATCAGTTTTCATTAGTCAGTTTTCAAAGCTCATAAAGATAACACCAGGGAGATAAAAACAAACCTTCACCAGCTTTCCTGAATTGTGCAGGAGCCAATTTTAAAATATAAGATGTCAGAGCACTCCATATGACTGAACGTCTTAAACCAAACTGCAGCTGAGATGTTTGACAGACAGGAGGCCTGAGTTTATGATTATCTGGGGTAAAATAATTGTGACATTGATGATTGTAGGAATAGTGATCACGAAAATTTGAGGGATGGGTCCTGTTCAGGGAACTGTATGCAGACAGAGCAATCTGTAGTTAGTTGATTTGATAAACACTGATGATGCCTAACAATGGTTGAGAAGACTGAGATTGGTGATTCATAGTGCTCATTTCTAAGGACATAAGATATGAGCAAGTTTGGTAGAATGAGTACTGTTCAAACTAAGTTACAGTAATAAATATATGGATAAACCAAAAGCTCCGTTAGTTAGAGTTTAACATAGGTCAGACTTTTCCTATTTTAGTTATAAATGTGCTGATCTGTTTGTTTGATTTTCAGGATAGAGATTTGTCAGGTTGAACACCCAGAAATTTTTGAAGAGACTTTTGAAAAAATAGTGTCATTAATTTTTATATTTAAAGACTGGCTATTGCTCCCTGGCACAATGCCAAAGAGAAGTCAACAAGTTTTCTTTATATTAATGAGATAATTTATACAGTTAAACAAATCACTTATCTTAATGAGTTCACTGTTTATTACTGTAGCAGTTTTATCAGGGTCTTTGTATAACTTGAAAACTGTTGTGTCATCAGAAAAAATACTTTGGACCAGGCCTGCAGGCCACGTCCAGCCCAGAAGCAATCTTCAAGTGCCCAAGCTAAAGACTGGTATAGATTGGTATGGATTGGTACGGATTGGTATGGATTGGTACAGATTGGTATGGATTGGTACAGATTGGTATGGATTGGTACAGATTGGTATGGACTGGTACAGATTTGGACGGATTGGTATGGATTGGTACGGATTGGTACGGATTGGTACAGATTGGTATGGATTGGTACAGATTGGTATGGACTGGTACAGATTTGGATGGATTGGTATGGATTGGAACGGATTGGTACGGATTGGTACAGATTGGTATGGATTGGTACAGATTGGTATGGATTGGTATGGATTGGTACGGATTGGTATGGATTGGTACAGATTGGTATGGATTGGTACAGATTGGTATGGATTGGTACGGATTGGTATGGATTGGTACAGATTGTACGGATTGGTACAGATTGGTATGGATTGGTACGGATTGGTATGGATTGGTACAGATTGTACGGATTGGTACAGATTGGTATGGATTGGTACGGATTGGTATGGATTGGTACAGATTGTACGGATTGGTACAGATTGGTATGGATTGGTACGGATTGGTATGGATTGGTACAGATTGTACGGATTGGTACAGATTGGTATGGATTGGTACGGATTGGTATGGATTGGTACAGATTGTACGGATTGGTACAGATTGGTATGGATTGGTACGGATTGGTATGGATTGGTACAGATTGTACGGATTGGTACAGATTGGTATGGATTGGTACGGATTGGTATGGATTGGTACAGATTGTACGGATTGGTACAGATTGGTATGGATTGGTACGGATTGGTATGGATTGGTACAGATTGTACGGATTGGTACAGATTGGTATGGATTGGTACGGATTGGTATGGATTGGTACAGATTGTACGGATTGGTACAGATTGGTATGGATTGGTACGGATTGGTATGGATTGGTACAGATTGTACGGATTGGTACGGATTGGTATGGATTGGTACGGATTGGTATGGATTGGTACGGATTGGTATGGATTGGTACAGATTGGTATGGATTGGTACAGATTGGTATGGATTGGTACAGATTGGTATGGATTGGTACAGATTGGGATGGATTGGTACGGATTGGTATGGACTGGTACAGATTTGGACGGATTGGTATGGATTGGTACGGATCAGTATGGATTGGTATGGATTGGTACGGATTGGTATGGATTGGTACAGATTGGTACGGATTGGTACGGATTGGTATGGATTGGTACAGATTGGTACAGATTGGTATGGATTGGTATGGATTGATACAGATTGGTACAGATTGGTACGGATTGGTACGGATTGGTATGGATTGGTACAGATTGGTACAGATTGGTATGGATTGGTATGGATTGGTACGGATTGGTACGGATTGGTACGGATTGGTACAGATTGGTACAGATTGGTATGGATTGGTATGGATTGGTACAGATTGGTACAGATTGGTACGGATTGGTACGGATTGGTATGGATTGGTACAGATTGGTACAGATTGGTATGGATTGGTATGGATTGGTACTACTATTAAACCAGCCCCGGTGCAAAGTTAGTAAAGATCACAGTATTATATTATTTTCATATTGTCTCAGCTGCTGAGACTAAGGGAAGATAATTACTAAAGTCACAAAAACTACACTGTTAACTGTAAATAAGTGCAGCAAAACCTTCGCTAATATAAAACCAATACTTTATCAGTACAGTGTTTATATTAAAGGCTGCTGACTGCTGACGATGTCCAGCCCATCAATATTTCCTGCTTTTAAAATCCAGCCCAGTTGAATTTCTAATTGAATATCCCGGCTTTAGACAGTTTGGTTGAAACATTACTTCTTTTCTTTAATACTTCTTCATTTGTTTGAATGAAAGATAATGGCCCAGAGACTGATTCCTGAGGTACTCCACAAGTGATGTAACATTGGATGGATGAATGTCATTATCGTTATAAGAAACAAAGAACTGTTACCTGTCCTTGAGGTAACTCGAAAACCAAAGAAACTCAGTTTAATTTCCTCCAAGATGGGAAAGTTAATATAGAGGAATGGGATGACTTATAGTATCAAAGGCTTTAGATAAGTCCAAGAAGATTCTCATAGTGCTAGACAAACTCAGAGACAGCCAACATGGTGGAGAGGTTCTTTCTAAACCCGTACTTATAGGTATGTAAAATATGCCGAACCAAATGATTCAACAGTTTTTGAAAAACAGGTTTTTCCAACCCTTTTTCCATGACAGGTAGACTTGAGATTGTTCAGTAATGACTGAGATGAGCTGGATCACCTTCTCTGTAAACTGGAATGATCTACAGCAGTGACAACACATTACATGTGATGGAGTGAATGTCCCTTGTTACGACCCACTTCTGATCAATGCACTGTATAACTGTGTGTAAATTATGGTTATATTTTGGATTTTTAAACTGATCTGCAGCTAATAGTGTATCTTACCTGGATCAGCAATAAAAAGGCTCCTCATCCGTTCCGCTGCAGACAGAAAGGAAGACATGAAGAAAATTATTATTGACATACAGCACACTGGGAGTATATGTTATATACATGTTATATACAGGAGTATATGTTATATACAGGATTATAGTTATATACAGGAGTATAGGTTATATACAGGAGTATATGTTATATACAGGAGTATAGGTTATATACAGGAATATATGTTATATACAGGAGTATAGTTATATACAGGAGTATATGTTATATACAGGAGTATAGTTATATACAGGAGTATATGTTATATACAGGAGTGTATGTTATATACAGGAGTATAGTTATATGCAGGAGTATATGTTATATACAGGAGTATATGTTATATACAGGAGTATAGTTATATGCAGGAGTATATGTTATATGCAGGAGTATATGTTATATACAGGAGTATAGTTATATACAGGAGTATATGTTATATACAGGAGTATAGTTATATACAGGAGTATATGTTATATACAGGAGTGTATGTTATATACAGGAGTATAGTTATATGCAGGAGTATATGTTATATACAGGAGTATAGTTATATGCAGGAGTATATGTTATATACAGGAGTATAGTTATATGCAGGAGTATATGTTATATACAGGAGTATAGTTATATGCAGGAGTATATGTTATATACAGGAGTATAGTTATATGCAGGAGTATATGTTATATACAGGAGTATTGTTATATGCAGGAGTATATGTTATATGCAGGAGTATATGTTATATGCAGGAGTATATGTTATATACAGGAGTATAGTTATATGCAGGAGTATATGTTATATACAGGAGTATAGTTATATGCAGGAGTATATGTTATATGCAGGAGTATATGTTATATGCAGGAGTATATGTTATATACAGGAGTATATGTTATATACAGGAGTATATGTATATGTTTGCTCTGAGACTAAATATTTCAGTAAGAAGAGAATGGTTAATTCACTTCATCATTAGAGAGACAGTTCATTGGTTAAAATGTTTAAACAAACTGTTTCTGAAATTTTCAAATGTGGTTTAATAAAACACAACAACAGCGAGACTGCCAGGAATGCTTTACATCAAACACAAAGGCATTAGGGTATAACTGAACTACAGAACTATGTAAAAACACAAAACAACTTCTTGTTTAATTGAGTCTCACTTCTTTTTAAAAACATATTTATTCCAAATATTTGGTGGATTTAAAGCTTTACTTCAACAATCTGTCCAATCTATCATCTGCACAGTACAGTTTACTGAGAGGAGAAACATCCTTACCAAGAGTTTTTTTAGGTGGCGTGGCCATCTTATAGCTGTCATCGATCTGCAGCAAACAGAAGAACGAACGGACTCTTTATATGTCATGCAACCTTCCTGTGTCATGAACCACATGACTTACAAGAAATGTACTCAATTCTCATCAACCAGTATGGGTGTGTGTTGGGGTGGGATTGTACTGCTATCTTTGTCAGGAACATTTTCAGTGTTAAACCACTGGGTGGGGTCATGAGGACCTCTTGATTTTAAGGGACTAAGAAAACTTAGATTATTATTCAAGATATAAACGTATTAAGTGAAATCTCTCAGGATAAGGACACAGTGAAGACCTGAGCACAAGCTATTGACTATCATCAAACAAGTCCCTATGAATATAAGTATAACTCATCTCTGGTGGAATATTTCCATTTCCATCACAGCTTCTTCCTTGGCTCCCTCAATACTGGACCAACTTCAAACATTGTTCACATCAGTCTCTTTAAACAATTTACAGGGGGAAATGGGGTCCAAGTTACAAAATGCTAAAGTTATCTTTTAACCATACTTTGAGCATGCTTTTTAAGCATATATAAGCATACATTCACTCAGTGAAAGTGAAAGTCACAGTGCTGGTTTAACAGAATATGGTGAATGTCTTGTGAGTCATGTGGTTCATGAAAGAGGAGGAACCTGTTATTTAAAAAAAAGAACCATCGTTCTTCTGTTTGGTGCAGATCACAGATCAGCCACAGCTACGGGATGGACAAGCAAGGGAGAAATACTGGTAAGGATGTTTCTACTCTGTCAAAGTTTTGTGTTGTGATGATTGATAGACATGGTTCATATATATATGTGTGTGTGTGTGTGTGTGTGTGTGTGTGTGTGTGGTTTTAGTAAAGCTATGAAAACACTTGATTCTGTCTTCAGACTAAATGTTGTAACATTTACTGTGTAACACGAACTTAAATAACTTTTACAGTAAACTGTCAGAGGGAAGTTTATAAACTGCATATTCTCAGCTGAGTTTTAGATTTTTAGATAGGCTAAAAATTATTACTTTTACTCTGTAATATCTGGATACATTCATCATGTTTCTTTTATCAAGACAATATCACACTGGAGAGGGAGTGCTGTTTTAGACTACTGAGTATTATCACGACTGTAAGTCGGTCACTGGAGATAATTACAGCTGTGTTGATACTTAGTCACACGGCATATAAAATGCACAGAAAAAGTGACAACAGATTAAGATTTGTTTGTTTATTCTTTATTGAACTTCACCAACACAAATAGTTCCACAGCTAGACTGAGGCTGGACTGTTGCTAAGCAACACACTTAACATTCCTGTATACTAGCTTTGTGTAGGTCTGCATGTTACCACAGGCCAACTAGGTTACTCTTATAATGTACATTAATCTGTATGTTTCCAGTGACATATGAGTCTGCTGACAGTCACTATGGTGGAATACTGTCATTGTGATGAGTTAACAGCTGATCAGACAGAAACATGAGCTGATGTCACATAAGTATTGGACCCAAATAGGGTCCAACGTATTGCAGCTATGTATGAGCACATCTGAATGCATGAAAACATTTGGTGTGAATACATTCAAATATATGAATGTTTAAAAATGTTTTGATCAAGTAACTTAAATGCTTCAATGTGCAAAAAATATCTGAACAAAGAAGATTTGCACAAATGTTTACAGTTACAAATAAAAAATAAATATACATACATCGATGTTGTATAAAAAACTGGACAAAGTGTTGGACAAAAAAAGGTTCAACTGCCACGTGTGAAAACTTAACTTAAAGTATAACTTGTCTGTTGTGGATGAAGCTGGCTCAGAAGAAGGGGTTCCAGTGCCGTCCTTGCTGTGCTGTGTTATAGTGGTGCAGAGGATCCTGTTCGCTCTGTGTGTCTTCACAGAGTCAGCAGTTCGATGCTACCTCGGCTTTGTTCTTCTTTGCGTGAAACGTTAGCTTGCAAACTTTGTGTCTGTGTGGAGGCACTAACTTATCTGATGTTAGCTACCATTTAAAAGACTTGAGTGTGGCTGCTTGAGCAGGCCACGTTCAGAGAGCAAGGCTGCAGCTCCTGCTGAGAGACCAGATGAGGAAAGGCAAATAAAACCAGCAGTGAGTTTTAGTTGATGAATAAGAGCAGCAGTGACTGATGAGAGCAGAGTAACAATTTGTTTTCACTTCAGTGAAACTCTGAAGGTTAATCACACTTCTGTAGTTTATTGATGCTGAGGTAGAGACAGTCTGTCTGAATCCTGCAACATGACATCAACACTGAAATCCTCTCTGTTTGGACATTATAGACAGAACTGATGGAGGTAACCAGCCCAAAGGTGGAGGCAGCTCTAATGATGATGGTGGTGGGCCAGACAACCAGTCCAAAGGTGGAGTCAGCTCTAATGACGGTGGACCAGACAACCAGTCCAAAGGTGGAGTCAGCTCTAATGATGGTGGACCAGACAACCAGTCCAAAGGTGAAGTCAGCTCTGATGACGGTGGACCAGACAACCAGTCCAAAGGTGGAGTCAGCTCTAATGATGGTGGACCAGACAACCAGTCCAAAGGTGGAGTCAGCTCTGATGACGGTGGACCAGACAACCAGTCCAAAGGTGGAGGCAGCTCTAATGACAGTGGACCAGACAACCAGTCCAAAGGTGGAGGCAGCTCTAATGATGGTGGTGGTGGACCAGACAACCAGTCCAAAGGTGGAGGCAGCTCTAATGATGGTGGTGGTGGACCAGACAACCAGTCCAAAGGTGGAGGCAGCTCTGATGGTGGTGGACCAGACAACCAGTCCAAAGGTGGAGGCAGCACTAATGATGATGGTGGTGGACCAGACAACCAGTCCAAAGGTGGAGGCAGCACTAATGATGATGGTGGTGGACCAGACAACCAGTCCAAAGGTGGAGGCAGCACTAATGATGATGGTGGTGGACCAGACAACCAGTCCAAAGGTGGAGGCAGCTCTGATGATGATGGTGGGCCAGACAACCAGCCCAAAGGTGGAGGCAGCAATGATGATGGTGGTGGACCAGACAACCAGTCCAAAGGTGGAGGCAGCTCTAATGATGATGGTGGTGGACCAGACAACCAGTCCAAAGGTGGAGGCAGCTCTAATGATGATGGTGGTGGACCAGACAACCAGTCCAAAGGTGGAGGCAGCTCTAATGATGATGGTGGTGGACCAGACAACCAGTCCAAAGGTGGAGGCAGCTCTAATGATGATGGTGGTGGACCAGACAACCAGTCCAAAGGTGGAGGCAGCTCTAATGATGATGGTGGTGGACCAGACAACCAGTCCAAAGGTGGAGGCAGCTCTAATGATGATGGTGGTGGACCAGACAACCAGTCCAAAGGTGGAGGCAGCTCTGATGATGGTGGACCAGACAACCAGTCCAAAGGTGGAGGCAGCTCTGATGATGATGGTGGACCAGACAACCAGCCCAAAGGTGGAGGCAGCTCTAATGATGGTGGGCCAGACAACCAGCCCAAAGGTGGAGGCAGCACTAATGATGGTGGTGGACCAGACAACCAGTCCAAAGGTGGAGGCAGCTCTGATGATGGTGGACCAGACAACCAGTCCAAAGGTGGAGTCAGCTCTAATGGTGGTGGACCAGACAACCAGACCAAAGGTGGAGTCAGCTCTAATGATGGTGGACCAGACAACCAGTCCAAAGGTGGAGGCAGCTCTGATGATGGTGGACCAGACAACCAGTCCAAAGGTGGAGTCAGCTCTAATGGTGGTGGACCAGACAACCAGACCAAAGGTGGAGTCAGCTCTGATGATGGTGGACCAGACAACCAGTCCAAAGGTGGAGGCAGCTCTGATGATGGTGGACCAGACAACCAGTCCAAAGGTGGAGTCAGCTCTAATGGTGGTGGACCAGACAACCAGACCAAAGGTGGAGTCAGCTCTAATGATGGTGGGCCAGACAACCAGACCAAAGGTGAAGTCAGCTCTAATGATGGTGGACCAGACAACCAGTCCAAAGGTGGAGGCAGCTCTGATGATGATGGTGGACCAGACAACCAGTCCAAAGGTGGAGGCAGCTCTGATGATGATGGTGGACCAGACAACCAGTCCAAAGGTGGAGTCAGCTCTAATGATGATGGTGGAACACACTTACAGGTTAGTTCACTTCCTGTATGTCCTTGACCAGTGTGAGTGTAGATGGGACCACTGACTTTCACCCAGGCCGGTGTTCACTTCCTGTAAGATTGTGAAGCCAAACCCTGTTCTCTATCGTCTCGAGACTATCTCTCCACTCCGTTACATATTCCATATGTACCCGGTATGATCTCCCTGCTTGTCAGGGTATGTGGATAATTCTTTAAGACACACCGGCTTGCCCGGCCACACCCCATTGCGTAGCTATAAAGCACCTGCGCTGGTGTGTAATCACTGATTGTTTGATCTCCACTTGTGCATCAGGGTGCAGTGTCTCACAATCCGTATTTCAAAAAAAGAAAAGAATTGAGTTGTAAGGAAAGAGAAGGAAGGTGTACAGCTTTGAGTCCGCTTACCTGTGTAAGTCAGGGCGTCCGTCTTTGGCAGCCTCCCTGGATTGCTGTGTCCTAGAGCTCTTTCTGCCCTGTGTCAGCAGAGTCATCATCCTGCCTGGTCGAGCTGGAGGTTGTCTGGCTCCCGGCAGTGGTGGCTGTGTGTTATTCCCGGCGTATTGCTCGCGGCTCGTGAGCTAATGCGCTTGGTGGATACGCGCAGAGTGCTGACGGTTTTTGCTTTAAGCATTCTCTCACCAGCGTATTGCTCGCGGCTCATGAGCTGACACGCTTGGTGAGGTCCACGTTGAGCATTGTCTGTCCTGGTCTGGTCGAGCCAGAGGTCTCTGACTCCCGGCTTTGGCGGAGTTTCTCCCCGGGGTATTGCTTGCGGCTCGCGGGCTGACGCGCTCGGTGGCGAACCCTCTCCCTCTCATAGCGTACGGCTCCCACAGCGGCCGGCACGCAGAGTAAACTTGAAACAAATAAAATAAATAAATATAAAGCAAAGTTAGCTGCGGTCAAGAGAAGGCTGGGACACGGGGTCAAACATGGGGGGATTGCACATGCGCAGTGTAACTTGAACTGCGATGCTGGAGGGTGACAGCAGGGGCGCTAGATAAAAAGCGCAGGATCCGCTCAGGCGATCAAGGAGCGGCTTGGTGCGGTCTGCTTGGACTTTTGGACGGCAGCTCACGCCATCTACTGAGCCTTTGAGGAAGTGCAGACCAGATTTTACTGTGCATGCATCAGGAGGGACACTGCTGTGTGGGTTGTGGGGTGGCCATGCCCCTAGAGGATGGGCATGATAGCTGCGTACTATGTTTGGGACATGAGCACGCTCTGGTTTCTAAGGAGAATCCTCAGTTGTGCAGGGGCCTAGGTAGAAAACTGGGAGAATGGCTGCAGCCTCGGAGGGAAGGGCATGTTCAGGAGTCTGGCAGGCTCCATTGCCTCCTCTTCAGCCTATGGTGGTCCGACCTCTGCTTAGCTCCTTCCCCGCCTTCAGAGTTAGGCAGGGAGGAAGAGGAGGCTGAGGAGGAGGATGTGGATGTGGAAACCGTCTTTTCCTCTGAGGACAATGACCTCTCTTGTGCACAGCAGACAGTGGGCGAAACAACAAGAGGGGAGTTAGCCCGCCGCTTTGAGGAGGTGATTAACAGGGCTTCCAGGGCTCTGGGCGTTGCCCTCCCTGAGAACCCCCGAGCCGCATCCTCTAGGTTTGAGGAGGATATGGAGGTGCGCCCTGCATCAACCCAGGTGCCCCTCCTACCTGACTTTAAAGATCTGCTGTGCCAGCAGTTCCATTCTCCAGCGGCTGCTCACAAGTGGTCTGCGACATGTCGCCGGTTTTCCAATGTGCATGACAGGGTCCAGATTGCCTGTGGGCCACTTCCCCCAGTGGACCAAATCCTCACCCCACTAGTTTCTCCCTCCAGCTCCATCCTTGGTAATGCCACCTGCTCCAGCAAGAACTGCAGGGTTATGGATAGTCTGCTCACTAATCTACATAAGGCTATGGCGGTGCACACCCAGCTGGCTAATACCGGGGCTATTCTGTCCCTTTACCTCCGCGACTTGTCTCGTCAGGTCCATGATGACACCAGTGTAGGTGAGGAGCTGCAGACGGCCTCCTCATGCCTCTCCTCTCCAGTGCCTTGGCTTCCTTCTGGGTGGTTAGGCGCCACTTGTGGCTGTCTCAATCCCAGCTCCAGCAGGGGGATAGAGACTGCCTGCTTAAAGTGCCAGTGGTACCCACTGCTATGTTTGGGCCTCATGCTACCGCCTTGATGCAGCAGGCACAGGAGAGCCGTCGCTGTGCGAAGGAGGTCTCAGGGGGCCTTGCCAGGCATGTCACGGGCTCTAGGGGGTCAAGGCCGTCTCAGTCTCAGCTGGCACCAACTCCAGAGGCCTCAACATGGGGTCAAGGGGATCTCAGACTCCAATTGGAGGCTTCCCGGCGGGATAGGTACCGCCGACAGGGCAGACGGAGAGGACCACCTGCTAAGGCCATGGGGTCCTCCAAGTGCCCCCCGCCCTCCTGACAATTACCAGGCCCTGGCCAACCTGTCTCCTCTGCCTGCCCCTCGTGAGATGGCCTGGTTGGCCCTGGGAGCGGACCCATGGGTGGTCTCAACCATGACCCATGGATACCATATCCAGTTTTCACACCGGCCACCTGTAACAAGGAAACCCACCTTTACAACAGTGAGCGATCCTCAACGGAGACTAGTTCTGGAGACGGAGCTGTCCACCCTCCTAGAGAAGGTGGCTATAAGGGAGGTGGCCTCTGGGGATCATCAGGCCAGGTTTTTCTCCCGCTACTTCCTGACCCCAAAGAAGGATGGGGGGCTTCGCCTGATTCTGGACCTCAGGGGGCTCAACAGGTATCTCCTGCCCCTGCGATACCGGTTCCTGACAGTCCCCAGGGTGAGACAGGCAGTGACAGCAGGGGACTGGTTTGCCACCATAGACCTCAAGGATGCGTATTTCCAGATACCCATCTGGAGGGGTCACTGGCGGTTCCTGCGCTTTGATTTCGCAGGCAGGGTGTACGAGTTTCGGGTGCTGCCATTCGGTATTTCTCTGGCACCCCGAACCTTCACTCGCTGTATGGATGTGGCCCTCTCAGAGGGATCAGGATCCTAAATTACCTCGATGACTGGCTGGTCTGTGCAGCCTCAGAGGAGCAGTGCCGCCACCACGTAGCCCCGCTGTTGGAGCACGTTCAGCGCCTAGGTCTGTGCCTGAACTACAAGAAGAGCAGGCTCCAGCCTTCCCAGGTGACGACCTTCCTGGGGATGGTCCTGGACTCGAGGAGGGCAACGGTTACATTGACCCTGGAGAGGCAGCAGGTTTTCAGAACTTGCCTTGCCCCTTTCCAGTTGCATGCTCTGGTCAACTGGGGACTCTGCCTTCGCCTCATGGGCTTAATGACAGCCACGATGCAGGTGGTCAACCCTCGCCCTCTTGCATATGCGGCCTGTGCAGAGATGCCTGCTGGGCTTGGGTCTGTGCCCTCAGAGGTCCCACAAGACCAAAGTGGTAGTCTCTCGGAGGCTCCACAGGGCCCTCCAGTGGTGGAAGGTCCCAGCAAACATCGTGGTAGGTCAGGCTCTGGGTCCAGTGGTTTATCGCCAGCTGGTGTACACGGATGCATCCTCCTCGGGGTGGGGCACAGTACACGAAGGCCGCGGCATCAATGGTGTCTGGACCGGCCGGTGGCTGTATCAGCACATAAATGTCCTAAAGCTGAGGGCAGTTTCCTGCCGAGGCTGAGGGGTCATCACATCATTGTCCGCATCGACAGCACAGTGACGGCCGCTTACATCAACAGACAGGGGGACCTGGGCTCCCCTGCCCTGTGCAAGCTGGCAACCACTCTGTGGCAGTGGGCTCACCCGCTCTTCCTCTCACTCAGGGCCGTGCATGTGCCAGGGGCACTGAACTCTGCAGCAAACATCATGTCGAGAGGAGGGCCCCAGCCGGGGGAGTGGAGACTCCACCCTCAGGTGGTCTCCAAGATATGGCGCCGCTTTGGCAGGGCGGAGGTCGACCTGTTCGCGTCCAGGGAGTCGACACATTGCCCGCTCTTCTTCTCCCTGAGGAACGACGATCCCCCCTTGGGGTGAGATGCTCTGGCTCATCCGTGGCTCCGGATTCTGCTCTATGCCTTTCCTCCCTTCACTCTTCTCCAGCCTCTTCTCCGAAGAGTTCTGGTGGAGCAGGTGCGGCTTATATTGGTGGCACCTATGTGGCCCCACATGCTGTGGTTCTCGGCAATTCCGCCTCTGCTGGACGGGCCGCCATGGGATCTCCTGCACCGGAGGGACCCTTTCCAGCGGGGCTCAGGCTGGTGGCTTGGCCCCTGAGAGGGAAAGGCTCCTGGCCTTAGGATTGCCAGAGCCTGTGGGGGGACAATGCAGCATGCCCGGGCACCATCCATGAGAGCTGCTTATTCGCACCGTTGGCAGATGTTTACCAACTGGTGTGAGTCTCAGTAGGTGGACCCCTACTTGGCTCCGGCTCAGGAGATCCTGCGGTTCTTGCAGTCCCAGCTTGAGGCACAGAAAGCTGCTGTAACACTGCGAGGGTTGGTGGCAGCAATCAAGGCAGTGCGTATCGGCGAGTTTGCACTGAGTGTGGAAGACTGTGTCCTCATTTCCCGGTTCCTTCGGGGGGCCCAGCGACTCACGGTGCGTACCACTGGTCTGGCAGTTCCCCCTTGGGACGTGGATGTCGTCCTTGGGGCCCTTCAGCATTCCCCCTGTGAACCCCTTGGGGGTGCTGATTTGATGTGGCTCTCCATGAAAACCGCCTTTCTGCTCGCCGTCACTTCGGCGAGAAGAGTGAGTGAAGTTCATGCCTTGTCGGTGCATGGTGACTGTTGTCGGTTCTCCCCGGATGGCTCGAGTGTGGTTCTCCGCCCCAACCCAGCCTTCCTGCCTAAGGTCCTTACTGAGTTCCATCTGGCTCAGTCAGTCGAGCTTAGGTCTCTCTCCTCTCCTAGTGCTGACGAGGAGGTTGAGCAGGGCCAGTCTGCTCTGTGCCCGGTCAAGGCCTTGACAGAGTACATTCGGCGCACTCAGGCTGTCCGGAGGTCCGACCAGCTCTTCATGTGTTATGACCCTGGGCATTTAGGCAGGCCTTTGTCGAAGTCCAGGCTGTCACACTGGATTGTAGACACTATTCGGCAGGCTTATGTACTGTCGGGTGTGCCTGTTCCATCAGGGGTCCAGGCACATTCCACTCGGAGTGTGGCTGCCTCATGGGCCTTGTGGCGGGGGGCCTCCCTTGCTTCCATATGCTCCGCCGCCACGTGGTCATCCCAGTCGACCTTTACCAGGTTCTACCATTTGAACGTGGCCGCCAGCCCCTCGTTTGGGGAGCGGGTGCTGGGCATGGCCCGACGGTAGACATTTTTGTCTCCCCCTCAGCCTTGCGTNCTGCTGTGCCAGCAGTTCCATTCTCCAGCGGCTGCTCACAAGTGGTCTGCGACATGTCGCCGGTTTTCCAATGTGCATGACAGGGTCCAGATTGCCTGTGGGCCACTTCCCCCAGTGGACCAAATCCTCACCCCACTAGTTTCTCCCTCCAGCTCCATCCTTGGTAATGCCACCTGCTCCAGCAAGAACTGCAGGGTTATGGATAGTCTGCTCACTAATCTACATAAGGCTATGGCGGTGCACACCCAGCTGGCTAATACCGGGGCTATTCTGTCCCTTTACCTCCGCGACTTGTCTCGTCAGGTCCATGATGACACCAGTGTAGGTGAGGAGCTGCAGACGGCCTCCTCATGCCTCTCCTCTCCAGTGCCTTGGCTTCCTTCTGGGTGGTTAGGCGCCACTTGTGGCTGTCTCAATCCCAGCTCCAGCAGGGGGATAGAGACTGCCTGCTTAAAGTGCCAGTGGTACCCACTGCTATGTTTGGGCCTCATGCTACCGCCTTGATGCAGCAGGCACAGGAGAGCCGTCGCTGTGCGAAGGAGGTCTCAGGGGGCCTTGCCAGNCACTGCTATGTTTGGGCCTCATGCTACCGCCTTGATGCAGCAGGCACAGGAGAGCCGTCGCTGTGCGAAGGAGGTCTCAGGGGGCCTTGCCAGGCATGTCACGGGCTCTAGGGGGTCAAGGCCGTCTCAGTCTCAGCTGGCACCAACTCCAGAGGCCTCAACATGGGGTCAAGGGGATCTCAGACTCCAATTGGAGGCTTCCCGGCGGGATAGGTACCGCCGACAGGGCAGACGGAGAGGACCACCTGCTAAGGCCATGGGGTCCTCCAAGTGCCCCCCGCCCTCCTGACAATTACCAGGCCCTGGCCAACCTGTCTCCTCTGCCTGCCCCTCGTGAGATGGCCTGGTTGGCCCTGGGAGCGGACCCATGGGTGGTCTCAACCATGACCCATGGATACCATATCCAGTTTTCACACCGGCCACCTGTAACAAGGAAACCCACCTTTACAACAGTGAGCGATCCTCAACGGAGACTAGTTCTGGAGACGGAGCTGTCCACCCTCCTAGAGAAGGTGGCTATAAGGGAGGTGGCCTCTGGGGATCATCAGGCCAGGTTTTTCTCCCGCTACTTCCTGACCCCAAAGAAGGATGGGGGGCTTCGCCTGATTCTGGACCTCAGGGGGCTCAACAGGTATCTCCTGCCCCTGCGATACCGGTTCCTGACAGTCCCCAGGGTGAGACAGGCAGTGACAGCAGGGGACTGGTTTGCCACCATAGACCTCAAGGATGCGTATTTCCAGATACCCATCTGGAGGGGTCACTGGCGGTTCCTGCGCTTTGATTTCGCAGGCAGGGTGTACGAGTTTCGGGTGCTGCCATTCGGTATTTCTCTGGCACCCCGAACCTTCACTCGCTGTATGGATGTGGCCCTCTCAGAGGGATCAGGATCCTAAATTACCTCGATGACTGGCTGGTCTGTGCAGCCTCAGAGGAGCAGTGCCGCCACCACGTAGCCCCGCTGTTGGAGCACGTTCAGCGCCTAGGTCTGTGCCTGAACTACAAGAAGAGCAGGCTCCAGCCTTCCCAGGTGACGACCTTCCTGGGGATGGTCCTGGACTCGAGGAGGGCAACGGTTACATTGACCCTGGAGAGGCAGCAGGTTTTCAGAACTTGCCTTGCCCCTTTCCAGTTGCATGCTCTGGTCAACTGGGGACTCTGCCTTCGCCTCATGGGCTTAATGACAGCCACGATGCAGGTGGTCAACCCTCGCCCTCTTGCATATGCGGCCTGTGCAGAGATGCCTGCTGGGCTTGGGTCTGTGCCCTCAGAGGTCCCACAAGACCAAAGTGGTAGTCTCTCGGAGGCTCCACAGGGCCCTCCAGTGGTGGAAGGTCCCAGCAAACATCGTGGTAGGTCAGGCTCTGGGTCCAGTGGTTTATCGCCAGCTGGTGTACACGGATGCATCCTCCTCGGGGTGGGGCACAGTACACGAAGGCCGCGGCATCAATGGTGTCTGGACCGGCCGGTGGCTGTATCAGCACATAAATGTCCTAAAGCTGAGGGCAGTTTCCTGCCGAGGCTGAGGGGTCATCACATCATTGTCCGCATCGACAGCACAGTGACGGCCGCTTACATCAACAGACAGGGGGACCTGGGCTCCCCTGCCCTGTGCAAGCTGGCAACCACTCTGTGGCAGTGGGCTCACCCGCTCTTCCTCTCACTCAGGGCCGTGCATGTGCCAGGGGCACTGAACTCTGCAGCAAACATCATGTCGAGAGGAGGGCCCCAGCCGGGGGAGTGGAGACTCCACCCTCAGGTGGTCTCCAAGATATGGCGCCGCTTTGGCAGGGCGGAGGTCGACCTGTTCGCGTCCAGGGAGTCGACACATTGCCCGCTCTTCTTCTCCCTGAGGAACGACGATCCCCCCTTGGGGTGAGATGCTCTGGCTCATCCGTGGCTCCGGATTCTGCTCTATGCCTTTCCTCCCTTCACTCTTCTCCAGCCTCTTCTCCGAAGAGTTCTGGTGGAGCAGGTGCGGCTTATATTGGTGGCACCTATGTGGCCCCACATGCTGTGGTTCTCGGCAATTCCGCCTCTGCTGGACGGGCCGCCATGGGATCTCCTGCACCGGAGGGACCCTTTCCAGCGGGGCTCAGGCTGGTGGCTTGGCCCCTGAGAGGGAAAGGCTCCTGGCCTTAGGATTGCCAGAGCCTGTGGGGGGACAATGCAGCATGCCCGGGCACCATCCATGAGAGCTGCTTATTCGCACCGTTGGCAGATGTTTACCAACTGGTGTGAGTCTCAGTAGGTGGACCCCTACTTGGCTCCGGCTCAGGAGATCCTGCGGTTCTTGCAGTCCCAGCTTGAGGCACAGAAAGCTGCTGTAACACTGCGAGGGTTGGTGGCAGCAATCAAGGCAGTGCGTATCGGCGAGTTTGCACTGAGTGTGGAAGACTGTGTCCTCATTTCCCGGTTCCTTCGGGGGGCCCAGCGACTCACGGTGCGTACCACTGGTCTGGCAGTTCCCCCTTGGGACGTGGATGTCGTCCTTGGGGCCCTTCAGCATTCCCCCTGTGAACCCCTTGGGGGTGCTGATTTGATGTGGCTCTCCATGAAAACCGCCTTTCTGCTCGCCGTCACTTCGGCGAGAAGAGTGAGTGAAGTTCATGCCTTGTCGGTGCATGGTGACTGTTGTCGGTTCTCCCCGGATGGCTCGAGTGTGGTTCTCCGCCCCAACCCAGCCTTCCTGCCTAAGGTCCTTACTGAGTTCCATCTGGCTCAGTCAGTCGAGCTTAGGTCTCTCTCCTCTCCTAGTGCTGACGAGGAGGTTGAGCAGGGCCAGTCTGCTCTGTGCCCGGTCAAGGCCTTGACAGAGTACATTCGGCGCACTCAGGCTGTCCGGAGGTCCGACCAGCTCTTCATGTGTTATGACCCTGGGCATTTAGGCAGGCCTTTGTCGAAGTCCAGGCTGTCACACTGGATTGTAGACACTATTCGGCAGGCTTATGTACTGTCGGGTGTGCCTGTTCCATCAGGGGTCCAGGCACATTCCACTCGGAGTGTGGCTGCCTCATGGGCCTTGTGGCGGGGGGCCTCCCTTGCTTCCATATGCTCCGCCGCCACGTGGTCATCCCAGTCGACCTTTACCAGGTTCTACCGTTTGAACGTGGCCGCCAGCCCCTCGTTTGGGGAGCGGGTGCTGGGCATGGCCCGACGGTAGACATTTTTGTCTCCCCCTCAGCCTTGCGTCTTGCGGGCTGATTGAGCGGCTGCTCCGTGAACAGGATTGCCTTTGCATCTTGCAGGGCCCCTACCTGTCCCCCTTGGGTTAGCCCTGCGTCTTGCAGGCTTCCCGGGCAGCCCTTCCCTCCCATGGGTGGCCCTAGCGCCTTGCGGGGCCTACTCCGGTGAGTTGTATATAGTGTACATTTGTAAATAGTTAGATTGTTGCACATTGTGGTGTGGGATTGTGGGCTGCACTGTCTCACAGGCACTTTATAACTACACAATGGGGCGTGTGTGTCTTAAAGAATTATCCACGTACCCTGACAAGCAGGGGGATCATACCGGGTACATATGGAATATGTAACGGAGTGGAGAGATAGTCTCTTCACTTAGAGAACCAAGGTTACAGTGTAACCATACGTTCTTTTTTCATAAACCCACCCACGTGTGTGTGTTAGTCACTTTCCTCCACTGACAGTAATGTTTCCGTAACATTGTAATTTATTTCTTGTCCTGTCTGTGTTTATTTGCATGTTTTCATCTCTGTGTTTTCTGTGTTTCAGGAAAAGAAAAAAAAGGAACTCCTGAAGAGTCTACAGAAACTAAAAAAAAGGATGTCAGTAGAATGTTTCACATGTATGTACAATATTTATCATCATTGTACGTTATCATGTCATTTTATATTTTACAAATACTAATTATATAAATAGACTTAAAAATACAAAAACCTTATGAAAAATATATAAAATGAGTCTATGAGCATGTTTTCTCTTTGTAGGTGCTGAACATTTGAAAAAGTGCTCCATCAACAAAACTCCGATTGACCCGAAGGATCTTTCAGATTTCTTTGATCTTTTAGAGAAAGAATTACCCCAGAGAGGTAATTAAATCTACATATGTATGTATATGTCACCAGAGGGGGATTTAAACATTTACTTTATAAAAAGTAACACGATAAAGTCTGATGTTTTTTGACTTTGAACAATGATAACTGAGTGACCATTGTAGTGACAAAGTCCTATACTGAGAAGCCACTACTGGCTGCTAATGGGCCTATTGTTTGGACGTGTGCCGAAAAAACAAAGTCCAGTCTTTTCCAATAATATTTACAATGTGTTTATTTTCTCATTGCATTTCAGTTGAATTGTCCATCACTTCCAATAAGTTGACTTTGACAAAACGCAGAACATAAACCACAAAATAAAAACTGTAAACGTAAATTCGTGCACAGTCAAAAACTGTTTGCTTCCCCAGCAGCATCATTGTCACAACAATCAATGAACTTAAAACACCTGTGGTAAATCTCAGCCGCCACCACAAACAACTCATGGCTGCCCTCTAGTGGCGTGGAGGCGCATTACATTCAAACATAAATTATGGCTCTTACAACCATCTTCTTGGCAGCATTTAAAAGAAAAAACAGCTCCTTATCAAATATTAAATGTAGTATTGAAATCTTAAACAAACCAACGGAGACACAATTCTGTTTATGAAATTTAAAAAATGTCTTTTTAACTCTAAAAACTATAATCATAATTTCAGTTGAGGTGAATTACATTTTTTCATTTAACCTTTATTTAAATGTCGAGGAATCATTGAGGGCGAGCCCTCATTTACAATGATGTCGAGAGCACAACAAACAACAATTAAAAATCACAAAGAATGAGCAAATAACAACAGACCGAACACCTTTAAAAACAGTAACATTCAAAAGTACAGTAGTTGATAATCATAGTTTTAAACTGGCCTATAGTAACCCTTGTGTTGAGTTTGAGTGTACGTAGCAAGATGTTCCAACTAAAAGCAGTTTTACCAAATTCAGTGTTAGTGCGGGGAACATCGAGCATTAAGCAATCAGTTGAACGTGTAGAGTAATTACTATGCGACCAGTTCAATAAAGTGTTGAGGTATGGTGGCATGCTGCCGTTCAAAACTTTATAAATGAAAAGTAGCCAGTGCATATCTCTTCGCACAGATAAAGGTACCCATCCCACCTTATCATATAAAACACAATGATGGGTGGAGTAACTGGAACCAGTGATGAATCTGAGCGCAGAGTGATAAATTGAGTCCAATGAAGTGAGAGTGGAGGCAGAAGCATGTCTATAGATAACATCACCATAATCCAGAACTGATAAAAATACAGCCTCAATGATCTGTTTCCTACAAAGTAAGGGGAAATTTAATTTGTGTCTATATAAGTATCCGATTTTGTGTTTTAGTTTAATTGCCAGTATGACAATATGGAATTTAAATGTTAGTTTCTGATCCAACCAGATGCCCAGATACTTATATACTGAAACCCTTTCAATACTATGTCCTGTAAAAGTGGTGATGTGTAAACTGTCATCTGTAATATTTCTGGCTCTTGAGAATATCATGTATTTGGTCTTGTCTGCATTAAGAACTAATTTCAGATTGAAAAGTGAATGTTGTAGTTTGTCGAAGGCTTGCTGGAGGATTTCAGTGGCTGAGTGTGCAGTGTTAGAGGTGCAGTACAGAACTGTATCATTGGCGTAAAGATGGGCATTAGAATTTGTTATAGAGGATGTAATATTGTTGTTATAAATGGTTAACAGGACAGGACACAGTATTGAATAGGAAGTGCATGCAGATTACATTTTCACACACTAAACGTGATGAATTTATTATATATGTTGCATAGTTGTAACTTTGATGACTCAACAGTCGCCTTTATGAAGTACTTAAATACACTGCTAAAACAATGAAGGGAACATTTAAATCACACAAAATCTTTTCTGATGAACACTGAATAATTAGTTGAGTACAAAAAGATGAAACAACAGTCAGTGGAAACCAAAACCATCGACCCACTGAGAGCTGGATTCAAAATTAGTGTCAAACATTTAAATCACAGGCTGATCCATGTGTGAATTTTATCACATCAACTCATCATGTGACTCAATGGTGTGTACGGCCTCCGCCTGCCTGTATGACCTCCTGACAACGGCTGGGCTCCTGATGAGTCAGAGGACAGTGTCCTGGAGGATCTCCTCCCAGACCTGGATCAGCGCATCACTGAGCTCCTGGACAGCCTGTGGTGGACGCACCGACACATAACGTCCCATAGGTGCTCAGCTGGATTTAGGTCAGGGAACGAGAGGACCAGTCAATGACATCACTGCCTTCATCATCCAGGAACTGCCTACACACTCTGGACACATGAGGCTGGACCAGGAGGAACCCAGGGCCCACTGCACTCGGAGGAAACCAGGGCCCCCTGCACCAGGAGGAACCCAGGGCCCCCTGCACCAGGAGGAACCCAGGGCCCCCTGCACCAGGAGGAACCCAGGGCCCCCTGCACCAGGAGGAACCCAGGGCCCCCTGCACCAGGAGGAACCCAGGGCCCTCTGCACCAGGAGGATTGGGCTGCAGGTGCCGCCACATGCTACCAGTAGTGCCAAGGACACTAGCAGAAGACCAAACTAGAGAAGAATCAGTCAGGAAGGATAAGGAGAGAGCAACTGTCTGTGGACACCACATGTAAAACCATTTCCTGTTTGTCTCTCCATTGTTCCTGTTGTCACTTTGATTTGAACCAAAGCAGCTGAAACTGATTGAAACTGATCTCCCTGAAGTTTAACTGACTTCCGGTTAGACTGTAACCACTAAGTGTTCCCTTCATTTTTTGTGAGCAAAAAAAAGGGCTCTGCCTCAACAACCTGCAACAATAATAATATTCCAATAATATAATATGTATATGTTTATAAGTTATGGGGGGATTTTTTTTTCTTTTACCGCTGATCATTTAAATAACACCTAAATTAACTTTATTATTTTGAGCGTAGGACTTTGTAACAAAGTCTTTTCACAGTGTGGTATTAGCACTCTTAGTCAGAGGGGGACACCAGCTGAATGAAGAATTTCAATAAGTTCTTTCTGAGGTCCAGGAGAGTTCAAGCAATGTAAGTGAACATGAGCTGCTCTCTCTCAGAGCCAGAAACCAGGGGAGGAAGTGTTAAACTTGTGATATCATCAGGTACAAAGTCTGCAGCTGCTCCAGAGACGATGAATGGAGACCAGACTTTATACCCTATGACATTACATATTTAAGTTTTAGCACTCTGGATTCTGGAGTTGCTCATCTTTACTCATCTTTTTGGACTGTTTTATACCAGAGGAATAACATGGATGAATTTTGAAAATGGGCAAAGTTCCCCTTTAGGTAAATGATCCAAATACTTCCTCCACCTCAGAAACCTGGGTGTCATTTTATTAGCAGGTTCTTTTAAGTTTGAAATGTATTCATAACTGTTTGTTTCTCTTTCAGCAAAGTGGCATTCCCCATTCAGTTGGTTTTGTCCAGCAGTATCTACAGTGAAGGTGTTCTCTGTCGTCACTGGTCAGACCTTTGGTGCTGATGAGGCCATACTGAGACAACTGAAGAAAACTGAAGCAGTGGAGACCAATGACCTGCAGGATAGTGACGTCATCATCGTCTTCTGTTCAGTCAAGTCTCGTGTTGAATCTGATGTGGATGCAGCCATGAGAAAGGATTCAGGTAATGAACAGATTTATTTTAACTTGATCCCCACAGTTTGTTCAGGAGTAACACTCAGTCTGTTTCCATGACGACAGAGAAAATGGATTTATTGTGTCAGTCTTTTAAAATCAGTGAGTCAGTGTGAGTGAAATGGTCCTGCAGTGAATGTGTCACAGTGGGACTAACACACCCAGATCATGTGACTCCTGCATGTATACAGTCAATCAGACCCAAACTGGCCGAGGCACTCTGAGCATGCTCCACAGTTTCCGCCCCGGGCTTTGACCCGGAAGTCCAATAGCATTAAATGTGTAAGAGAAGAAGAAGCTGGTAACAACATGGAGAAATCTACATCCAGAGCCGTGACTTTTTGGACGGACCAAATGTACAGAGCTGTAAAGTTGTCCACCATGGTAGCACTTAGCTGCTAGCTAACCGTAGCTAACTTGTTTGTCCATTGTTTGGTCTGTGACGTAATAGGTCAACAGGAAAAAGGTCCAATACTAACAAGCTGAAAGGGGGCATATCTCCACCTATCGTAGAGGAGTCGCACATACTTGGCTCAATAAATGGATTCCCCTCCCGTGCTTGT